GGCGCCCAGCCCCTTCTTGAACTTCACACAGCGATAGGTCCCGGCGTCCTCGGGGCGGGTGTCACTGATGCGGATGGTGAAGTCGGTGTTTCTATCATCAGCCCTTGTCACTCGGGGGAATGATCCTTTATCTTCATAAACCAGCAGGCGGGTGGGGCCCGAGCCCTTGAACCACTTCACGGGTCCTGCCGGAGGGTTCCCAGTCTGAGAACAGTTCAGGGTGGGGGTCTCTCCCGCTGACACCGACACGGCGCCCTGGGGCTGCAGCAGCTGGAACTCCTGGGCCCCGACCCCTGGAAGGAGAGAACAGGCCGGGCTGGGGGAGGCTGTTTGACAAGCCCCATCCCGCAGCAGCAGGGGGCTGAGTCCCCCGCCAGGGCACCGCTCTTTGATCCTGCTCCCAGCTCTGCCCAGAGCCGCGCCCTGCCCAGAGGGGCTTTCACTGCCAGGGGAGGGGCTGTGTCCTTCTGCAGCGCCCCCTGCAGGCTGCCCCAGAGCCGCCTTTCCCACGCTCTGCCCTGGCTCCTGGGAGCAGCAGGGACCAGGCAGCTGTTGCGCTGAGTGTGAGCAGGGGGCTGGGTAGACACAGCTCTGACAGCTCTGACAGACCTATGGGTTGCAGCCGCCCCAGCAGCCCCGTGGGACCAGGAGTCGTGATGGCCCGGAGGGGCTGGGGGCCACAGCAGTCCCATAGGAGCCGATGTTCACCATGGAACAGACACATTTTCTCAGTTATTCATTATTAATTTTTTTTACTGCTCTACTTAAGGAGAAATCATTGAAGCCACCACCTGCCAGAGTTGCTGCCCGCACACTAAGGACACCAACAATTGTCTAGTGAGACCCTGGGTTACCAGCTGTCCTGTTCCAGAGCACAGGCTGATCCCAAGCTGGGGACAGGAAGGTTCTCGGGACAGAACACACACAAGGGTTTCTTGCTCCCTCCAAAGCGTCTGCAATTTCCCTCTGTTGCAAGCAGCCAGACACAGACTCGCTGGTCCTCGTGCTCACGGGCAGTGTCTGTGCGCTACTCACCAGGGATTCCCAGGAGAAGCAGCAGCACCAGGCATGGAAGAGACAATCCAGAGCCAGTGGTCAGCGTAGCCATGTAGTTGTCGGGGGGCGACCTTAGCACGGCTGCCTTTGCCAGCTCTGCCTGAAGGGACACTGAAATGGCTGAGGCTGAGGGTCAGACCTTCCCCTTAATGCAGAAGGAAGTGGGCAAAGTTCCTCTTTCAGGCAAATGTCACACAAGCCCAGCCTCCAGCTACAGCCCCTCAGCCCACGTCCGGCCCAGACACTGCAGCGTCCGAACGGGACTCGCTGACACACACACACCCCCGTTAGCCGGGCACACACAGTTCTGCTGGGCAGGGGAGGGGAAATGGTGGCTGTTCCCCAAACAGAAGCAGCATGGGGCCTGCACCACGGCCGATGTAGGCCAGAGAAGGTGTTGCCCTCCCCAGACTGCCCACACTCCCCGTTGCAGAAGGGGCAGTAGAAAGGGTGGGGCCTCAGGCCTGCCTTCCCCAATTGCCCCTTTACCCACTGCCCATGGGCTGGATCCAACAGCGTGGAGTTTGTAGGACCCATGGAAATCCACGGCCAGGAGCCTGCGAGCGCCGTACATCTGCACCAGCACCAGGCCCTCTGCAGGGCTCTCCGCCTCCCTGCTGGGAGGGTGCCTGCACCAGATCCCTGGTCTGCAAGGGGAGGCCGAGAGACTGACTGTGGGGAGTGAGCCGTGCGCAATGACACAGCACCTGCAGGCTTGTGGGAAACAGAGACCCAGCTGGGCGCGGGGCTACAATTCCTAGAGAACCTGGACCACGGCAGCAGTGACCCGGCCCACGGCTCTCAGGGGGCCTGAGTCTGGCGTTGGGAGCTCCACATACACATTCCTAGCTCCTCTCCCTCTGACGGCCGGAGCCGGGATCATGACTCGGAATCGGGTTGCTTGGTGCTCAGCCATCCGCTGCTGGTGTCACACTGGCACCAGCTGGGTTCATACTCACCCTGCCCGTGGCCAGGGAGGCAGAGCTGGAGGAAACGATAGAAGATGATGGGAAAACAACTTCAGAAAAGGGACGTTCCCAAAGGAGGGTAAAATGGGACAAAGCAGGGGGCAGGGAGTGACAATTAAATCCAGGCAGCGTCAGAGGGGCCAGATAAACTGTGGATGCCACAGAAAGGGTCCAGAGTTGTGGATAGAATATGAAACCCCCCTAGTGCAACAGGGTGGTGATGGATGGGAAGGGAACTTCCCTTTTCTAAACATCCCAGCAATCCATAACTAACAGGTTAGTCCCTGTGGTGTATAACTGTGTTCAAACCTTTCTAAAACTCCTGGCTGGAAACACCCCAACTCAATGGTCATCTAGGGGCCCCTTGACGCCCCTCACAGAGCAGCTCCCCAGCTCCAGCTGACGGGCAGAGCACTGCAGCAAAGATCTACTGGTTAGATGTGAATGCAGGTACACGGCACTGCCTCAGCATTTCGCAATGTGGCTTTTCCTTGCGAGACCCTTTTTCGCTTAATTTCTAATATTGCCTCAGAAACACATCAAAACCCTGACACACGTTGTAGCGAACCCCTCGCATCTCTTAATCGATGAGATTTGCTTGGGACACTTACCTTCAGAAAAACGTATCCTTCATTATGTCGGAGAAGAACCTTTCAGCCACATCCATCCCTTCCACCAATTACCCTCAGCAGTGAAGTGTATTTGGAGAATTTTTCAAGAAAATCTACAGTATTCCCGCACTTCGGCTTCAGCCAGCTGTGGCTATGGTTGCACACATTCCCTTATATGGGTTTTCCTTGTGAGACACTTTTCCATCAATTTCTTTGTAGAGAACTCCTCAAATCCCTTCATGGACGAGATTTGCTTGGCACATTCCACAGGGAAGGGGCAGCTGCGTGTCACCTTCTGCCAATGCCCTGGGGTCATTCTGCCTCTTGATGACCATCACAAAGCAGCTCCCAAGCCCCAGCTGCCGGGCAGAGCTCTGCAGCAAAGTGCTGCACACAGAGATGCTCACCAGCCAGGGAACCCCCATCAGAGGAGACAAGAACTGAGGAGAGGGGATAGAGTAAGAGCCAAGGGTCAGTTCCAAGCATGGAAAGAGTTAACAGCGGGGTGCTCAGGGCTGATGGCCGGTGCTCCCTGTGGCTGTAGATTAATGAATGAGCCACAGGAGCAGTTGCACAGCCAGGGGGCAGTATAACACTCTGCTGATCACTCAGCACTGGGGGCCGTGTGGGGGATGCCGAGCAAAGCAGCTGATGGTCCCTGTAGCTGCTCAGGACACAGATCGAGGCTGCACCGGGGGCAGCTCAGTGAGGACGTTTCTCAGCTCACGGGCTGCAGAAGGAAAGGGATGAGCCAGGAGAGTCTGTGAAAATGGGGTCTCAGCCCTGGCCCTGGGTACAAGCAGGCAGCCCCCTGCGCTGCCCAGAGCCCCATGCCCGGAGATGGGATGCTTGGCGGGGACAGGGCAGCCTGCTTTGAACCAGCTGCAAGATCAGGTCCTTCCATAGAGATGCTGCAGTGGGGTGCTGTACATGGAGAGCGTGTTCCCCACTCAACACGGACACTGCGCTGAAAGAGGCAAGGTCCCTAGGACCAACCAGGAGGATCACAGGTGCCGGAGGGAAGCTCTGTACAGCAGGGTGACAGACTGGGGGTAGAGATGGTTTGGAAGAGA